AAATGAATAGGACTTGACTGTCACCTGTGGGGTAGGCATTGTGCTGATGAACATGCAATCCCACTGCTAGGAGTTCAAGGTACATTTGGGAGCCCAGGCGGCAGACTGTGGCCCCTACGCTGTCTCTTTCTACCCTCTCCTTTAGAGATCTCATGCTTTTTCTATCCTTTCCTTGTGACACAGCTGGCTCAGGAATCAGTGACTTCTGTCCTGAACTCCATGTGACTGTCCAACCTGATGCCCAGCTTCTCTTTATACCCTGTACTCCTAACGGTCAACAAGAAGGAAAATAAGAGCTAACATTCACTGAGTGTTTACAGGGAGCCAGGTGCTCTTCTATGTCCTTTATCTTTTCTGTTTTTTGTTTTTTTTAGCTCATTAGTCCTCATGAAAACCCTGTGAATTAGGTACTAGTATTGGTCACATTTTGCAGATGAGAAGCTGAACCAGAAGTGTTTACGTTGCTTGAGATTATACAGGTTATTAAGAGGCAGAGCGAGGTCATGAATCCAGGCCGTCTGACTCATAAGCTAGAGCTCTTTACCACTACTGTATCGCCCCCAAGCTCATCACACATTCGCTTTTACATAGAATTTAGTTAATTGATTAAATTACTTGATAGAAGATGTCTGATCCAGCAAGGGTTGCTATTTAGTAAGACAGTGACCAGCAAGGCATATCACTAAGAACTTGATTTCCAGAATCAGAATTCCTAAGTTCAAATGCCACTCCCAACTATTTAATATCTATATGGACCAGGACAGTTATCTGACTTCTCCATTCCTCCCTTTCCTCAGCTGTAAATTGGGCCTAACACAACACCTGCCTCGCGTAGGGTGCTGTGATGACAAGGTGACAGTAACATACTCAACATGTTTCCTAACATATAAATGTTAGCTCTCCTAATTCTTACTGTAATATCCTGACTCACAGAAGACAAGAAAAAGGATGTAATAAAAAAAAAATTGACTACAGCATCCAGATTGTGAATGATAAATACCATCTCTCGTTAAAAGTAAGCAAGATTCCTTAGAGAAATGGCTGATCCCAGGTATGAACAGGAAATGTACAAGCTGATCCCGGCACATGGTTTATTTCAGAAACCAAGGAAGCTACCAAGAACTTCACGGATCATAAAAAATGGAGACAGGAGCCACCTGGAAGAGGTTTTCACAGGTCAAAGATGCAGCGATATAAACATAAGAATAATAGTGATGCCAATGAATCAAAACACATCCTATCCCATATGTATCACACAATGATGTATGTTCATAACTCAAAGTGATACTCTCGAAAACCACTACCACGACCATCACCGCTCTCAGCCACAGAGTAAAAGCTGCTGAGGTGCGAACTTACTGTGTCTTCAGAAAATGTAAAAATAAAGGCAAATCTCAAGCATTTGTCATGTATTTGCTGGTAATCAAGGGAAAGGTCTCTTTATAGAAAAATCATAGCTAAAAAAATGAAGAGTAAAAACTAGGAAATCACTCTTTGACAACCCTAGTGAAATAACAGATTTAGGTAATAATACTTAGCAGATAAAGCAGCAGGTGAGAGGCTGGTGGACAGGGTTATGGCAGAAGGATCAGGATGGCAGTACTGAACCTTCCTGTCACTAAAGGTAAGCGACATGACAGAAATAAACACCACCCACGCCGTCCAATCACCAAAAATTAAACCAGAATCTAATTAAGTATTCTTTTACAAGAAATAAGGGCAGTAAGTGAAATCATTTTAAAACGATATAGGGATCCAACCAATCAAAATAAAAATCTGAGAAATTCTATAGGTAAAGTGATCCAATTTAGTCACTAAATGGCATGAAAAATAAAAAAGGGGATTGTAATAGATTAAAAGAGACTTAAGATATGTCACTAGAGCTCGGCTGGTGTGGCTCACTAGTTGAGTGTCAACCCATGCACCAAGAGGCCACTGGTTTGAATCCTGATCAGGGCACATGCCCAGGTTGTGAGCCCAACACCAGTGGGGGGCATGCAGCAGGTGGCCAATCTATGTTCTCTCTCATCGATGTTTCTATCTCTCTCTCCCTCTCCCTTCCTCTTTCTCTAAAGTCAAAAATTTAAAAAAAGAGAGATGTCACCAGAAAAGTAGTTATGACCTTGGGATTTTGACTTGAAAAAAATAAGCAACTGTGCAAAAGTTGTATCTGAGACCATCAGAAACTATTTTAACGAATTATTAATTTTGACAGGTGACGTAATATGTGGGTATCTCTCTAAAAAGTTATCTTTTAGAGAAACCTAATGAAGTGTTTACAGATTAAATAATATGCTAATGTTTGCTTTAAGACACCCCAGCAAAAAAATGGGGGGAGGAGGAGATCTCCATTTCCAGGGAGACAAAGTGGATGGGCTGGGACCAGGGGAGAAATGGGTGTGGTTACGAAGGTTGTGAAAAGGTAGCTTGAGGGATAGTTGTGGTGACACACTGTTCTGCCTCTTGACTGAATCAATGTTGACATCTGATTGTGCTATATTGTATTATAATACTGCAAGAAATTATAAGGGAAAATTTGTACAGGGTACATGCAGTCTCTCTGTATTATTTCTCACAACTGCATGTGAATGTCAAAGCAGAAAAGTGTTAAGGAAAAGAAGTCTTGGCAGGGCGGGAATACATGAAACAACAATGGCGGAGAAGTTCTTGCTAAAGAAGAATTCTTGATCATCTCTCTCTTCACTCGCCTAAACATTTCCATATGTTTCTACAATATTTAAAGTTTAGAAAAGGAAACCTACAATTTCCCTGCCAAGTGGTGTCACCTTCTGACTTTCCTAACAGGTCTCTCCCAGTCTTGTAAAATCTCTCACCACCGGGTTATCCTACACACTCTTGTTAGTTGTGTCCTTCTAAAATGCAATTGTTATGCTATTACTCTTTTGCTTAAAAGGATAAAGTTGGGCCCTGCTGGTGTGGCTCAGTGGTTGAGCACTGACCCATGCACCAAGAGGTCACTGGTTCAATTCCCAGTCAGGGCACATGCCCAAGTGGTGGGCTGATCCCCAGTGGGGGGCATGCAGGAGGCGGCCAATCAATGTTCTCTCACATCGACGTTTCTATCTCTCTCTTCCTCTCCCTTCCTTTCTCTCTAAGATCAATATAGGAAAAAAAAAATTTTTTTTAAGGATAAAGTTGGCAGGTATAAAAAATTCCCTACACCCCCTGCATAAAACTTCCATTGCAGTAAAGCTAGTCTCTCAAACCCATGAATATCATTTTGGACCCAGTACCTTGCTCCTGCCATTCTTCTGCCTGTACCTCCTCTCTTCTCCATTGATCTAAACCCCACCCACCTTTAAGAGATAGAGTAGAACCCGCCCCTTCATGATGCTCTCCTTGATCTTTTCTTAAGATGACCACGGGGTTACTCAGAGCAAGGATCCTGTACTGCATCACAATATGCAGTAGCTTTCTTGTTGTTTGTTTTGTTAATCCTCACCCAAGGATATTTTTTTTGCTGATTTTTAGAGAGAGTAGAATGTAGGGAGGAAGGGATGGAGAGGGAGAGGGAGAAGGAGAGGGAGAGGGAGAGGGAGAGGGAGAGGGAGAGAGAGAGAGAGAGAGAGAGAGAAACATCAATGTGAGAGAGACTCATTGATTGGTTGCTTCCTGCACATGCCCAGATCAGGGCCAGGAATCCTTGACTGGGAGTCAAACGCGCAACCCTTCAGTGTGTGGACCAATGTTCTAACCACTGAGAAACACCAGCCAGGGCATCATCGAGGTTTTTGATGAAAATATGTTGACTTAACTGAATATATAATATAAAGTTCATGGAGAGATTAGTAATTTTTAGGGGAAAAAAACAAGTAAAAATGTTAAAGAGATTTTAAGATAACACTAAATTGGAATCAGTAACTTGAATTTCAGACATAGTACTAAAGTTGTGTATGTCACTTTGGGCAACTCATTTAACATCTCTTGACCTTTGGCTCTAAAATGTAAAATGAAAGGACTAGACTCCACATTTTTTAATGTTTAGACACTGTACTTGCCTCTGGAAAAGATTTCCCAAGGGCTTCCATGGATTATAACTTGGAAAGATGATTCCCAAATATTACTCATCAGCAGAAACTAAATTTGATATAATACATACACACAAAACAAAACGGTGTCCCCGATCCAACAGGTTTTAAATAAAAAACGGAGTCAACGAGAGCCAATTGCATAAAAATGTTGGAGACCCCATGAAAAAGGATTGCTACATCGTTTAAAACATTATATTCAGTAAGACGTCCTGAGGTACCTGCACCCTGAGGAGCTATAATCTCCTCCCTGTAGCATTAAAAGTCCGCCATCCCAGAACTTGGAGCTACCTGTCTAAGACGTACAGTACAAAGGTAGAAATGTTTCTATCAAAACGATGTCCTTATGAGAAACCACCAAGGTTTCCCAGAATCAAAGCAGAGACCCTCTGGGGCAGAAAGAACAACGAGGACTGAATGTAATATGAGACTGGGCAGGAAAAGCATCGTTCTCCTTCGCCTTAAGAGGGAAGCGTTGCACTCGAAGACGGGTGTATTTGGGGAGACAATGACCTCAATCTGCTATTCGGGCTGGAAGTGTTGGTGATCTCAACCAAACAAGGATGCCTGCACAGTGTACCCTCCTATTCACCCCGCAGGGGTGCCCAGGCAGGAAGAGAAGAGAGGTGTGCAAGAATCAGCTATACCCACCACTAGCACTGAAGGAACTCAGGAGGGCTCCCGGAGAGAGTATCCCTAGCACAAGAACGAAAGGAAACACTGCTGCTGCGGAACTCGGTTTTCTTTAGAAGAGGAGGCTGGTTCCATGAGAGAGCCCAATGCAATGAGGGGTGGGCCGATGGGATGAACCGGGGAAGCTGAGTATGGGACCACGGGGATGAATGAGCAGAGATCTTAGGAACCCAGAGACTAGTCAGGGGGAGAAAAGCAAGAAGCAGCAGTTACTGTTTCTCTGCGCTGGCCCAGCAGCACCAGGGTCCCGGCAGTTACCTGAGGTTTCTTCACCTTAATGATCCAGGTGGGTGGGACAATGACGGCAGCATGAGCCCCCAGGGAGCAGGGTTCCTCAATGTGATGCAGCATGAAGCAGGTCACCTTATTGTGAAACTGAAGAGGAAAACGGGCCAATCAACAATTCTGTGCGAAGGGCAACATGGCAGTGAGACGAAATAAATACGTGTGTGCATGCTCATGCATGCACATGCCAACATGCACACGCACGCATACCACATACACGACACGTGCTTCTCATCAACCAGCCCCAGGAGCTTAGAGACCAAATTTAGAACTCATTTCACTTTACAGACCAATAACAAGAAATTGATCTTATTGGACAGGTCAGCTAAATCTTTATAACCTTGTTTTTGTTTTTTAGTACCTCATTTTTATTTTATTTTTTTAAATTTTTATTGAATGTATTGGTGTGTCATTAGTTAATAAAATTATTTAGGTATCAGGTGTACAATTCTACAATACATCATCTGCATACTGTATTGTGTTTACCACCCAAAATCAAGTCTCTTTCCATCACTATTTATCCCCCCTTCACCCTCTTCTTCCTCCCGCCACCCCCTTTCCTCTGGTAATCACCATACTGTTGTCTGTGTCTATGCGTTTTTTCTTAATAGGATATTTAGCTAACGATGTTAGAGTCTTCGATGGAAGATGGCCACATACCAAACCTGCCAAGCTCAGGGGAAGCCAGTATGGTGGGCTCTACAAAGTCAGAGACTGAAAGTAACCACACAGGACGTTCTGAACAGAGAAATTCCTAACTAAAAGCAGGTCATGGTGAGTAGTCACGTCCTAGGCCTGCAGCTTCCTTGACAAAGGACAGTCTTGACCTAAGTGAGTCTGTCTACTGTCTTTCTGCACCTATGATGACATACCTTTGAAACGTCAGAGTAATCCCCTTTTGCAGACCCCTCAGGGCACATCCACCACAAGAGACCACAGAACCCCTCACTGTTATCTTGTTGTCCACGCACCATCTCTAGGTGCAATAAATGTTCATTATTACCTCTCCTGTGCCCACCAATGTAAAAGAAGAGTGTGTTTCTCTATTTTGCCTTTTTATCTAATCGCAGAGATTTCCCTGCTTTGCTTTCTCCCGCCCCCTTACTCTACCACCATGGCATTTCATGGACCCCTCCTTTGGTCTGTCTTTGATTCTAATGTATAAAATAAGCTGTAAAACTGCCCCCCTCTGAAGCATTTTCTCAACCTGTTGAGATTTTGCTTCTCGGCAATCGTCATCAGTTTGGCTCAAACTCACAAGAAGTCTCTGCAGCAGCGGTTCTCAACCTGTGGGTCGTGATCCCTTTGGGGGTCGAACGACCCTTTCACAGGGGTCGCCTAAGACCATCGGAAAATACATATTTCCAACGGCGATTCATAACAGTGGCAAAATTACAGTTATGAAGTAGCAACGAAAATAATTGTATGGCTGGGGGTCACCACAACATGAGGAACTGTATTAAAGGGTCGCGACATCAGGAAGGTTGAGAACCGCTGCTCTATGGGTTTGAATGTTTCCTACATCGAAAGAGGGTTCTATCAATCCTAACTTTGCACCTGACTTGGTTTCACCGGACTTATATTGGTCACAGACTTGGTTAATTTGGGATCATGTTGGAAAGGACATGAAGATGGGCAGAGAGGCGGTGCCTCCCATCTGCCTCTCCTTGTTCTACCCAGAGATGTAAATCCTTCCCAGGCCGTCTTCCAATTTAAGGGACCCAGGGAAGAAGCAAGGCGCCTCTCCTAGAGAGCTGTTAGTCCAAGAGGGGATAAAGCACAGAGAGATTGCTTCTGCGAGGTTGTGAGGGCTGCTAACAGACAGAATGGTCCTATTACCCTTGGCTCTTGTAAGTGCTTTTTGTTTTTGACAGGAAGAAAGTAAATGTAGACTAATGATCATAACAATACCTCAGGGGCTGAACTATCCCTAAATGGATTGCGTGACCTTAGACCAATCACATTTTAATCATCTTTTGTGTGGCTGTAAAGGGATCGTGATGTGTGGTGACATCTGTTTTCTAATAAACATCAAATCTCATTACACAATAATTGCGAGCCTTCAAGTTTTCATCACAGTGATTTTTTAAAATTTAACATCAGTTTCTACTTGGATCACATTTAATGTGACCACATAATTTATCATCTTCACTGGAACAATTTTAAGAGTGAAAGGGAGTACTGTTAATAATTATGTCGGAGCAGAAGACGTGAATCAGGACTGTCTCAAGGAAACTGGCAAATATGGCCATGCCCGTTACATCCATCAGGGAGGTTTCATCTGCATTTCTGCAAATCTTCAAGATCTGGCGTGATCCAGCGGCTAACTGCTAACTCAGTTAATTAAGTATGAAATGCAACTTCATAATTCCCCCGACCGCCAGTGACTTCTGATCTGTAAACATTTTGATCTACCAGAGAAATGTTATTTGAATATCCTCTTTAAAAGGTGATTTTCTCGTGGGATGCTAATAGCGAAAGAACACATGATGGTGTGAGAGAAATGCGTGGAAAAATCTCCCTCCTTTCTACTGAGTTTTGCTGTGACCCTAAAACTACTCTGAATAATAAAGTTTATTCATTTAAACAATTAAAGAAATTTGAAATAAATGTTTAAAAAAACAAAAGAAGCACGAATGGATGCTAAAATCAGCAGGCAAAAGTTTGAGGAGAAATATGATCTCAGCATCATCTCAAAGTATCTCCCTGAAATATGTATCAGTTGGAAAGGGATACCTGAAGATACAACAAATACCACCTTCATCAAGTGATCGAGGTTAATATAATCAGTAATAAAACATGGACATTATGTACCCTCGTGGAAGATACAGTGAGGACACCACGTCCCTTCTGTAATATCTCACCCAAAATAAAAATAAAGCAAACTCAGTTTGGGAGACATCCTACCTAATTACCAGTCAGTACTCATTAAAGGGGTCAAGGGCCTGAAAGACAGAAAGAATGAGGAAATGTCCCAAATCCCACAGCTCAATGTACTGTGGGAACCTTGATTAGATCCTGGGATATTAAAGAAAAACCGGTGAATGTTTTAAAAGTCTGCAGCTTAGGTAATAGTAATGTACCAATATTAATTTTCTGGTTTTATTAAAGAGCCATAGCTTGGCCAGTATGGCTCAGTGGACTGAGCATCATCCATGGACTGAGAGGTCCCGGTTCAATTCCTGGTCAGGGCACATGCCCAAGTTGCAGGCTCAACCCCCATTAGGGGGTGTGCTGGAGGCAGCCGATCAATGTTCTCTCTCATATTGATGTTTCTCTCTCTCCTTTCCTCTCTCTCTAAAAAAAATTAATAAAAACAATATTTAAAGTAGCTTCATAAATGCAAAACAGCCACAGACAGTACATTAATGGATAAGTATGGCTGTGTTCCAATCAAACTTTATTTACAAAAACAGGCTACAGTCAGAGTCAGGTTATAGCTCCATTCTGCCAGCCCATGATTAGAGTGTATACACATTGTCTGCTTACAAAAAGGACAGGTGCACAGGCAAACAAGTAAGAAAATGAACCATCTGGTTGGGGCAGAGGGGTTAAAAACAAAAAGGAGAGATTAGAAAAGAGAAAAAGTAAATTAAAAAATTACTATTGGATTCTGATGAACATGTATGTTCAAGTGTAAGGGAGAGTTACCTTTCAATGAGCATTCAGACAACTGTAACAACATTGAAATTTAAAGAACCCCAAACCACTGTTGTACTAACATAGCTTTGTCAACATGGTCCCCACATCAAAAACAGAAGAACCAAGATGCAGGGACTGCTATGTCAGAGGGTTATCTAATGTTGCAAGTTGCTTTCTTGCTAACCTAATGTTGCAACTTCCTACTACAGATCCTGAGTTGTCAACAATCTAGTGTAATCAGGACAAAAACAAATGTGTGTGTGTGTGTGTGTGTGAGTGTGTGTGTGTGAGAGTGTGTGTGAGTGCGTGTGTGTGTGTGTGTGTGTGTGAGTGTGTGAGAGTGTGTGTGACTGAGTGTGTGTGAGTATGTGTGTGTGAGTGTGCGAGTGTGAGTGTGTGTGTGACTGAGTGTGTGTGTGAGTGTGTGTGAGTGTGTGTGTGTGAGTGTGTGTGTGAGTGTGTGAGTGTGAGTGTGTGTGTGAGTGTGTGTGTGAGTGTGTGTGTGAGTGTGTGTATGTGTGTGTGTGGTCTAGGAATGAAAAGTGCTCGATTCTAGACTCGGAGTTAGCACCAGGGGAGAATTTTCCCGTCTCTGATGCCAGAATGCAATGTGTATAAACGAAGGAGTTCATTTGTGTCTATCGTTTCTCCCAGCTCACGTGTGCTATGTATAATTATACAGTTTTGATGTCTTTCTTCCTCCAACAACCCTATGTGAGGGCAACAGTGCATACACCGGCTGACCCTCCACTTACAGACCGGAACTCAAGCGATGACCTAAGTCTGTGTTGACAGAACATGAGCCCACTTTGTGTTATTTCATCCCCCGACTTACCGCCTGCTTGCACCAGGAGCAGCTGATCGCCACGATCTCTTTACTGTGGAAGGAGAATTTCTGCTGAAAGCCCTGGGTGTTAGGACAAGAGAGAGAAAATTGAAAACCACATCAATCTCATTATGCAGCTGCCCTCCCGGAGTCCAAGGAAGTGAATGGAGCCAGGCCTGACCCCAGCACTCAAGGGAACTGGGATAAAAATACCACGCCCAGCACATTCTCGGCCAAGCAAGTTTCCAGGTCCCGAATCCTCTGGACTGTTAGAGAGGAGGCACCAGGGCCTGCTTTACCGAGGAGGCACCAGGGCCTGCTTTACCGAGGAGGCACCAGGGCCTGCTTTACCGCTAAGGCCTCAAAGTCAGCCACACACACACATTCACCCCCCGCCCCCAACAGAATGTGGTTCTGATATGTTTTTATTAAAAGCAAAAGAAAAGCCACGATCGGTTCACATGGTTCCTTATGACAACGGTCATCTATTTCAGAAGTTCACACAACCTTAACATCTGAGACCCCACAAAGAGAGGAATTAAGGATCAGAGAGTTAGGACCCAGAAATCAGGCTCTGGAAGAAGTCCAGGGGTGCAGAAGGAAATCCCAAGACTTTCAGCCTCCCCTTGGGTAAGTCAGGACTCAAAACAAGCAGCTCTCCGTCTTCCTCTTCGCCAGCAAGCCGCGGTGAGATTAACGGAATGGCCAACACAATCCTCTTACATGAACAAATGGAATTACTTTCCCACCCGGAACAGAAGAGGTGTTTTTTGGCTGCTGCTGTCCCTGAATAATGACCAGAGAGAAGTGTGCATTCATGCTTACGGAGTGATTTTCGCCTTCCCAAGGCTCATCCATTCTCTCCACCTGTGACATCTAAGCCCAAAGAAATGAATTCAGAGCAACGACAAAACATTTTCAAAGAGGCCTTCTGTCAAGTGATCAGAAGAAAATGTGATGGGCAGGAAAGCTACTGAGGCTCTGGCCGAGGGTGTCTTGCTTAACGTCTACAGATAATTTCAAGTTGGAAAAAAACATCAATTTATACATTAAAAGAACTCCCATTCTAACCTTCAGGCCTTCCCCCTGCGCCTGGCCGCTAATGAACAGCTGTCCTAAGTTGTTGATTATTTTACGTGCACATGTATTATCTCGCCGGTGGAATCATAGCTCTTTTGAGAGAAGTCTCTGGAATGGTTCTTAAGTGGGTTCCCACAACTGAGCATGGCTCTTTGAACTTCATAGGCATGGCAGACACATCTTCTGATTAATTCACCAGTCACTGCGACTATTGTGATGCAGTTACCAACTTCACACTATCTAGACTTTAAACACCTAACTCGAACCACCTAGACATGTGCTTCCCTCCCAACACCCTCCTCCCCCCTCCCCAGACACTACAAACATGCTAGTATTTTCATTTAATTCAGTCTGCCCTATAGACATGCCGCATCGTTGGAAATCAATACTGTGGACTGTGGGCATGGTAGTAGCCGAAGCCACAGCTAGAGGTCTACTGAATGCTGCTGCCTCAAATGTATTGTTAAACAGCACCTTAAATGCTATTACCTGGCCACCACTTCATTGATTCATACACCAGATGGTCATATATCATGTTGATGCTGATAGAGAGGGGGCATTGGATCTTGCTATTGGCTGGGGGATCTTAACCCTTCGAATTTCTCCCTTCACCTGAAAATGGTAATTCTACTACAAACCTCTCTTACACCGCTAAGTAGTTGTGAGATTCAAATAGGGTAATTACTTGAAAAGTTCTTTATAACGCAGTATATATCAATGAAGGGGTATTTTTGTTGCTGAGACGAATCGACAGGAATGTCTCCCAGCACCTTGCTGACAACGTCCTCCAGTGGCTAATATGTGACTATCAATACTCTACTTGATGGTACAGAGGGAGAGAGTATTGGCCGCCCCTTCTACTGAGTACTGGCCTTCTGGCTCAGGGAGAAACAGATCAGTCCTGACGGCCAGGCTGATACCAGAAGCAAACACGGCCAGCCACAGCTGGGGTGCAGGGCAAGGCTGCAGAATTGTGGGGAGTCTCTTGGAGATCAACCTGGTGGTAATCAGCTCTGTGCTTTGTTTTGGACTCTGACTCTGGCTGAGTCACGGAGGCCATAGTTTGAGTTATTGTCTAACACAGAGACATGAATAGAACCATATAGGCCGTGTTCCCAAGGGCCACCAGCAATGGGGAGATTTTTGGCCAGGATCTCAACCCAGCAAAAGGGGCCAGATTCCAAATTACCCATTTTTAAATGCTGGCCCACATTTGATATTATGGTACTGACACATGCCCTCAGCGAATTTCAACTGACTCTGGTCTTTAAGGGCTACGTATTTTGCTCATCACTACCAAAGAGGAATATAGGGATGTGAGGTCAGATGCTTTGGATCCAACTGACTTCAGAATTATAAATGCCAAGAACCTAGAGGGATAAAGTCATGTGTGTTGTTTTTTGGGGGGGATAGGGGAGGGTTTTTTTAAGTCAAATGGAGCTCTTGAAATAACGTTTAAACAACATTTATTCTTAGAAGGTAAAGCTTCATTGCCTCTTTCTTCTGCAATCTAGAGCATATACCAAATGGCTCTCCTTCGAAGCTCTGGCTGAAACCAGGCTTTTTATTGCTAATGTGTTTCACTGGGGTTTGGAGAGGGAATCTCCTGATCATAACCTGACTCCCTGTGTGATTTCATTTCATTTAACAAAAAAAACTCAAAACAACAACATAAATACACCTCTCCATGTTCGCTCACACGTTCAAAGCTCACAGAGAATTACAAAGGACAAACCAAAGGGAATTATAAAATAAGACTAACTCAGTATTTATTTATCTTAAAACAGAGAACTTCAAGAATTTTTGCTCAAATAGTCCACAATTAAAAAATATATATATATATATACTTGTGCACATTTTATTTTTAATATCTAACATGTTTATCCTAAGTTCACATCAGATGCAAAATCCATTATTTCTAGTAAAACAAAATTGAAGCTTTAACGTAAAACTGTTAGACCACTCTTGTAAACTTACCCAATGGAATATAAACACCACAGCAATTTGACACTCACTGAAATAAAAGGGACTTTTTCAGACCAGATCAGACCTTTGCCAGATCTCAAACCAGTCGAGGTATTTCAGTGCAACGGACTTGAACCAGCTGAAACCGACCAACCATGACGCCTGCGCATCTCACCGCCGAAGCTGATAAATAAGACCTTGGCGTGACTCAGGCGCAGACTCACACCAACCCGACTGAAAACTTCCTGCCTCATCGAAAACGGCACCCACTTTGACCAACTATCTACAGACTGATGGACTAATTCCGTTCTACCCAGAATCAGCGAAGGGTTCACCCTTCACTCTTTAATGAGCAAAGCCACCACGAACCAATCTCTCTCCCAGCCCATCCAAGGACTGACATTTTCCCTCTGACAAACTCTTCAGTCCAGTTTTCCACTGATACGTGTGTTCCTACCTGGCACTGGGAATCGCTGTATGTTCTATAATATGTATGTTCTATAAGGCTAGTTCTATAATATGTCTAGCACTTAGTTCTATCACAGTGTAAAAATGGTAGCATTAATATTTTAGTTTGTGCAAGATGAGGATGTATTTACTCATAAAAATCTAATCGACCTGAACTTTGTGTCAAGGGACGAGCAAGCACAGGAAAGAGTCACCATGTGGCGAGTCACCATCTTCGGCCCAGTCACTAGGTGGAGGTACAGTTGTTATTTGACAGTGGAGGCAGGGAGAATATATCTGGCACCAATTCTCCACGGGGGCGCCTTTCTAATTCTTTGAAAAATGTTGGTGATAAATGGACAATTGCAGCAGCCAAGATCAGAAGATCAGACTGCTCAAAGGTAAGGGTCTTTGTCACCCCACCGCTAGACAGTGAATGTCTGTGTCCCCTCATCATTCATATGTTGACACCTGAGGCCCGATTTAAGAGGTTATTAGGTCATGAGGGTGGCGCCCTCAGGAAGAGGAACAGTGTCCTTATAAACGAGGATCTTAGACGCCCCATCCCCCTCCGCCATGTGAGGCACAGGGAGATCACTGTCTGTGAATACGAAGCAGGCTCTCACCAGACACCAATGCCGCAGGCATCTCGGGCTCAGATTCCCAGCCTCCGGACTGTGAGGAATAAATTTCTGTTGTTGAACTACCCAGTCTATGGTATTCTGTAACAGCAGCCCAAACAGACTGTGACAGTCCCCTGGACCAGAAATGTTAGTTCAGATGAATACAGAATGGGTGGTGCATGGGAAATGCTCAACTCACTGAGCCGCACCAGCCAAGTGACACCTTTCCATTTTCAGGAGTTGCCCCAAGACCAGAAGAGTCACTTTGGCCAAGGACAGCCCACCTCCAGTGCTGGGTCAAGGCCAGGCAACTCTGAGGCCATGAGGCGCCGTGTGGGATTGGCTGAGGCCGTGTCGTGGTGGCACTGTAGTTCGACTCCTCTCTCGGCACAGTCCTAGCAACTTGGCATTTCTGAAGAAAGAGCAAAGGGGACCAGAGTGTCCGAAGTACCACGTTAGCAGCCACTACGGGAACTCCGACCATGCCAAGGCCAGGGAGCGGCGGCAGCAGCAGAACACCTCTACAGGTGAGACCTGAGTGACAGCCACCTGGAGACTGCCACAAGGAGCCCTGGTTCTGAGCCCACCGCCCCTTGTCCCTTTCCTAAAATGCTTATTTAATTAAATGTGTCAGGGTGGCACTGGTTAATAACATGACATAGCTTCGGGCGTACAATTCTAGAATACGTTATCTGTATATTGCATTGTGCGCTCACCACTCAGTCTAGTCTCCTTCATTACCCTCTCTGTCCTCCCCACCCCCTTTCCTCCGGTAGCCATCATACTGCATGACTGACATACAGAAAGTTGTACATGTTTAATAAACACAACTGCATGCGTTTGGAGACAAATATAAACTTGGGAAACCCTCACCACAATCTATGCCATAACATATCTATCACCTCTAATGTCCCCTCCCACTCTATTATTTTTTGTGTGATAGTACACTTAATGTACTATCTCCTCTTTCAGCAAAATTGTAGGTCTACAATATAATTGTTGGCTACAGGGATCACGTGGTACAGTGAACCTCTAGGATTCGACTGTCTTGCATAACTGAAACTCTGTGCCCTTGGACTAATACCTCTCCACGTCCACCCCGCAGATGAATCCGGAGGACCTTACGCTAAGTGAGCTACATCAGACACAGAAGGGCCCACAATACATGATGCCACTACTATGAGGAATCTAAAATAGTCCCACTCATAGAAGCGGAGAGTGGGGAGGTGGCTGCCCTTGTCCCGTGTTGATACTCAGTCAAGGACAGAAAGGAAAACCGGGCTTCCAGCTGCTGTGCAGGGGGCTCCCCAGAGAGGCCTGACTTCCTGTCCTCGCTGTGTCGCCCTCTCTACATCCTCACGGGTCCTCCCAAGGCTGACGGCAGAAGATTCCCGTTTCACATGAACGCACAGACAGGCAAATAACCAAACCCATCTCCTCAGTGCATGGAGCCTCACCCTCCAACATCCATTTCTCGTCCCTGGCTGTGCAGCGTCTCTTGACAGCTGACCTCCAGGGCACATACGTTTTCAGATCAAGAGCAGCCAGTGTTTTCAACTGATAACAAAACATCTCCAAAGCCACAGATGAGTATTTCCTTTACTTTTAGACTCTAGAATCCCTATTCACATAATCTATAATCACTATTCATATCTCAACTGTACCCCATGGACTGCTTTTAATCATTCTGACATTACAAAAATGCTAGTAAGTATACTTCCTTGAGATGGTGTATATTTTGAATACTGCACTATCAGTCCATTTTTAATTCGTTTTCGGCAATATTCAGGACAAGAAAGAGTCATTTTGACATTAATTGATGCTACGTGCTGTTTAATTTACTTAATGACACATGGAAGTACGTGTGATCTATGGACAAGTACTTCATAACGATGTAGCGTGTTTGGGTAGGAACCCAGAGGGCATCAGACATGCGGACTAAAGTTTAACTGTGTGTGTTGCATTAAAAACTGCTTTCAAGAGTTACTGTCTAACTTTCAAAAAACAGGCTCATTTATTTTTACAACTCTTATGTATGTTTTTAAATGGAGAAACAAAAGATACGTTTTCAAATAGTGGTTTACAAGCCTATTTCTACAGTTACCCTAGTGTTGGGTTTGCATGCTTGGCTCCTTCAAAACTAAAAGGCCAAATTAGCTATGATCATGACAGTATTTTTCCTTTGCCTACTGATTTTTAAATGACTAAGAACAACTGGGTGTTGAAAACAAGTTGGACTGAACGAGTGTACGATCTGCTGAAGGTCGCTAAGGGACATTTGCAGAATGAGCTGGCGTCCTGCCGCTCCCCATTGGAGACAGCTTCACATTAAGCGGCATGTACATGTAAGTGGCTAGACCAGTGCCACTGCCCCTCCTGATGTGCTCTCCGTCTTTCCCTGCCCCACATCCTATTCTAAAGTGACTATGGATCGTCTCGAAGTGTCCCTTGTGATCTGGCTTCCACTGGCTTTGACCACTAGACAGTGGAGGTAACTGAAGCTGGAATACCCTTTCCCCAGCTGGTAGGTCCCCTCAGCTGGCCAAGTCTCACACTCCTGTGGAAGGTTCTCTCCATCTCCTGGGCTCCTAGACCGGACGTGACATGGCCACCGCTGTTACACGCCCACGAGTTCTTCACTGTGCCTCGGGGTTTCTCTACACTCTGCTCACACACTATAAATATTCCCCCTACACACTCATCAAATGACATAATTGGAGTGTGAGTGTGCCCTTTCTTTTCTGCCTGGACCCCGACTCTTACGTAACATAGGGCTATGAATGAAAATAACGTAAAACCACGTAAGGGTCACCAACGCGGCAGCCCGTGAGTCGGCAAATGTCGAAGCACCTGCACAACGGAATCACGGGGTCTCTCGTCAGATATCCATCAAAGGCCACACCCACGCAGCCAAACTCATCCAAGGCTCAAGAGAAAAATCAGTGCAAATATTTGCCAATTTTAAAAGTAAACACTGAAACCCCAAATATTCTTTAACCACAAACACTCTCTAACTACCTCAAAAGTTGGCAAGCCACCAGCTGGAAAACAGTTTTGCTAAGTAAAATGATTATTTTTCACCCAATGGGTAAATAGTGGAATAATGTGTGTGTGTCTGTGTGTCTGTGTGTGTGAGTCTGTGTGTGTACAATGGTTCAAAAATCTCTGGATATATAAGAATATACAACTCTGCCGATGAAAATTACGCACAGCACCAAAGTTGGAAATGCATTTTCGATCACTTCATCTGTAAATGGAAGTAGAAACCAGGATCCAAAGATGGGTTACTGACTATCCACCAAGGAGATGCAGGTCTAAGAAACCCTTCGCCATAACTGCTCGAGTCTCTGGGAGCTCAGGAGCAGTTGTAGTACACACACAGGAGATAAATACAGTCGTACTCAATTACGGGAACATTTTGTGAGGAGCCGGGACCGCTGACTTCCCCACAGAGAGCTGGGAGCCCTCCAAGAGGTGGCCCGAGGACACTGGGCAGGACAGGAGATGCGGTCATAGCAACTCAGGGCCCAGGGAGCCCGGTTCTCCCCACTCAGCTGACCATGCCGACTGCGGACCAAGCCAGAAAGAGAGTGGAACATGACACCAGGGAATACTCATCGCAAAATATGATGTTTATTGATTTTCCTGTAATAGCATTCCTCCGACCCTATTACAGCCTGAAATCTGCTGAGGTGGTGCCAGGTACGGTGCCAGGTACGGTACTAGGCTGTCCAGAGAAGATACTTTTCCAAAGTGAAGAACCGGGTCACCCGGGTCCTTCCTACCCTTCACATCTCCTATCTCAAAATTGGCTGCGCCTATCTGTGTCTCCTCTCTTTTACACACACACACTATAGCGTGGGAAAGTTGTAGATAGTCTACAATCCACTAGGTAAGAGTCAACCCCCAAGCCCCAAGGCCACACCAGAAAGGAAAGGGGCACACGGAACCCAGGAAGGAAGGTGGCATGAGAGTGGACGGCTGACCTTTCTCACAGGCAGTAGAACGGCTGGTAAGGATCCTTCTACTCCCCCTTCCTCATCCCCCTTTTAGCTCCTCAACCTCCCAACCTAATTCACCTGCCTCTTTACAGGCTAAAAGGAACCAGCTGAGAGTCCCTGGGTTAAACTGGAGAAGAGAATACGAGCAATAACGGAGGACCAGGAGGGTAAGGTGGGTAGCCTTCCCAAGTAGAGCTTGGTAACCAATGGCTACAGCATCGTATTTTCGTTGAAGACACTGTGCCAACAGCAAAATTAAAACTTTTTCCAAGTCTTACTCACTCTCAACACTCCTATCTCAGGCAGCCAGCAGTTCCTTCTGTCGCTCTCTTGTCAAAAATGCCATACTAGCCCAGTTGGTGTGGCTCAGTGGATGGAGTGAGGTCCCATGGACTGAGAGGTCCTGGTTCGATTCCCGGTCAGGGCACATGCCTGGGTTGCGATCCCCAGTAGGGGGCGTGCAAGAGGTTGCCAATCGATGTTTCTCTCTCACATCAATGTTTCTATCTCTCTCTCTCTCACTAAAAAAATCAATAAAAAGATATATATTTTTTTTTAAATACCATCTGGTCAGCTTACTGTACTGCTTGGCCCAAAGGGGCCACATGAATAAAGAAACAAGTTGGGAATCCTTCACTGATGAAGAATCCATTCTCTCAGATATTGCTCTCTACCAAATCCAAGCTGAGTCCAGCATACTACTGATGCCATTTGGGAGAGAAAAATAATCTCTGTAGTGTGATTCACCCACAAGTTTAACCTTCCCCGGGGGGCCTTCCTAAAATGGATCTTTGTACATGGGAAAAAACCCATCCCCCAGATCTGTTGGGGTCAATAGCATGTAGAATCCATGGCGTTCCGTAGCATGCCAGCCACGCTCAGAGAGACAGCAGACATAAACCACCCATAGGAGAAGGGCATGCTTCCGGGACCTGGGTGATACCCTAACACAGGCCTTGATCTGTGCTGTGCTTCCGCTCAGCCACAATGACATATCAACCAAATTAGTGTCATTCAAGAACCCGTGGCTTTTCTGTTGCTGAGCAAAGAAGTGTAGTGGCCAGAAGTCCTCAGAGAGGGTTTCAGCAGAATGGCAAGTGTTTTCGAAATGATCAACAATGAAATCCACCACTAGAGTGTATCCATCTCTCATAGAATGTGCTAATTCCTTGCCCAGCCAGTGTGGCTCAGTGGTTGAGCGTCGACCCATGCACCAAGAGGTTGCCAGTTCGATTCCTGGTCAGAGCACATGCCCAGGTTGTGGGCCAAATCCCCAGTGGGGGCATGCAGGAGGCGGCCAATCAATGTTCTCTCTCATCGATGTTTCTCTCTCTCTCCCTCTCCCTTCCTCTCTAAAATCAATAAAGAAAAAATAAAATAAAATATAAAATAAAATAAATGTGCTCATTCCTCATGTTGAGATCTCTGCCTCTTACAGGGAGTTCTAGAGCAACTAGAACACCTCTTCAGGAAAGGGGACTTGGAGAAACAGGGCTTTCGGAAAGGAGGCGACGTACTGAGCACATCTATCCCGGGAGCTTGCAGAGGTCTGAGGAGCCTCCCGAGACGGCGTGGGTGCTGGGCCCTTACCTTACCACACTGCTTACACTTCCCCTCCTGCCGACGCCTGTGCACCCAGTGGTGACGCACAAAATTCTGCAGAAAGACAAAAGAAAATGAATCTGTTGAAATTTGCAGAACCCCATATACATGCTTTGTTGTTTGTCTTAAAAATATAGATTTCTGTAAACCATCAGCTAAGACCACATTAACACAAAAACAAGTGTGTGTGATTTGTGTAGCAATGAACACGAATCCACTCAGAAACATGGAGCCAACTGTGCAGCCCACAGTGTTCATCGTGTCCGTCCTGCACGTCTTCCAGTGACAAAGGGCCACCACGGAATGCTGTCCCTCTCTCCTCCCAGTAAAACCCTGTGCGGTCACGAGCATGCCCCCAGACCTTGAGCTGGAAGGTAACTGAGGCAGGCCCAAGAAACATCTGCAGAGAGGGGAAAAGACGAAGGAGAGAAGCAAAACCAAGAATGTCCAATGTTTTTACACAAATGTGTATTTAATGCTTCTTTATACGCCAGGCAGGTACCCTGCTCACGATGGGAACTAGAAAGCACTTACAATAATCCCATTCTCAGACAGAAGCAGCCCTCCTGACTCAGGACATCGATGGTGAGCATCTGTTAGCAATGAAAGTGAAGGAAGAGAAAAGCTGAAGGAAAGAGATGACAGAACAAGAGATGCGGCACGTTGTGGCGTTTTTGCAGTGACCTTGAGATCCAGCTGTCCTTGGGGCTCTGAACTAGATCAGCTTTCTGGGTCTATTCTTGTCTTGGGCTGTAGGACACATGGAAAGTCCCTTCCCTCCCAGGTGGACAACCACCCCTGGGCAGAGAGGTCAAGGAGCATCATCACCACTGCTCTTGGGATACATCATCAGGCCTAATTAGCGATGTGGTTAAACCCTAAGAACTTACATAGTAATTCACTCCCCTTAGGCTAATACGCTTGAAATACATGCTAATGACTTTCTCCTGCCCTTTTCTGAGAAAACATATCCACCTGAGATTAACATGTCTATTGATTGCCAGGCCACAATCTAAGCTTTCCCCTTTAGAAAGCCTTCTAACGCAGATTCGGTCATTCAGCACACCCTAAGTACCCACTCCCTGCCAAGCATCGGGGTACACAACAGAGGAACCCAGAAGAGATCGGGGTTGAGGAAACACCAAGGCATAAAATTCAGAGTGACAAAAAGACCCCTAAAAGCATTAGCCTTATCAATTCCAAAACGCCACCTCTATTTCTCGACATAATGTCAAATCAATTTAAATTAAAACTAAACAAAAGATTCTGGAGGAGTAATGGTCTTTTAACTATAATAAGAAATTAAGAAGCATCATGTTCCCACTAATTAGTCTAATTTTTGTCTTGCATTTCCCATAGCAGTTTAATGAAACACAAAACATAATTCATATATAATTCATATATATGTGTGTGTGTGTGCATATGTGTGTGTGTGTATATATATACATATATATATATTCTCAGAAAGAAGCTAATAATAATAGCTAACATTTGTTGAGAACTGTGTGCCAAGTACTTTTAAAAATATTTCACATATGATCATTCTTTTTGTTTTCAAGAAGATAGCAGAGAAGTGTTGTTTAGTTTGTAGGTACCAGTAAAATCTTACGAGCTGCTAAAATACTGAACTCTCTCTCTACGGGGAGGTAGCCTGTAATTTAGTCCCTAGAATCCCGCAGCTCCTCACTGCGTAGCACCCTGACCCCCACCCCCTCAACACTGCAGACCTTTTCTATTTCCTCCTTATTAAGCCGCTACAATGTTAATGATCTGTGCAGCGGGTCTCCAGAATTCAACCCTAATGAGCTCTCTTTCGAAAACAAATCGTGTTGCCCGAGCCACGCCATCAGGTTGCCCCAGCAAACTGGGAAGTCCGGGCTGTGGCCAGCGAGGCTATCCGTGCAGCTTAAACATCCATACAGACAACTCTGGGTCCCAAGGCTTACAGGACAGTGGCAGCAAGTCCAGGAACCTGTCCCGTGACCAGGGTCCACCTGTCCAGGGTCCACAGCCTCAATGTGGTGCAAACACTCCACTGGGGATGAAAGGACTGGACTCACCACCTCTGCTCCGTGGGTGACACAGACCTCAGCCGTCGCCTCTGTAAGCGGGAACCTGAGCCTCCTGCCTGTGTGCGGGTCGAGGCTGGGGAGACACGGGCAACCGCCAATTGCTCCGCATCCCAATTCACATTCTTGCAGGGCACACTGCCAGAGGGTTGCGCCTGAATTATCACGATCATCCTCATCTTGCAGGTGAGAAAACTAGAGCATAGAGCAATTAAAATGTAAGGGTTGGGGCAAGGATCCAATACCAGGCAGGCTGGCCCCAGAGCCCATGCTCTGAACACTGTCACTTGTCTGTGCCCGGCCCCGAATGATCGGGTACAAGCTCCTTCAGTAAACGACTTCAATGACATGCAGTCGTAGAAATATTGAATATATTAAAATGTCAGACAGTATTACAAGGAATATAAAAGTGTATTCTAATCACTGTTTGTTTAGCAGAAACTAGGGAGAATGAACAATATCATTGATGGTAAGAGAACGTCTCTGCTTGTTGAGATTATGAATCACCTATCAGCTGAAGGAGGAAAACGTTGGAAGAATTTGACAATTACCCGTGTGAAATCATAGCTAACTCATGGGAACATTTAGCTGGTGAGAGCTCCGAGCAAAAGATTAAACCAACAAGTTCCACAAATCAACACTTATTTGCAAGTTAGAAGACTGACTTATCGGTGTGGCAATATGTATTGTTTGGTAAGCAGATATATAATCCATGTACTTTAGCTTATTTAGGGGATAAAAGAGAACATTTTTAAATTATTGAAATAATATATATAACTGCAAGTTGTTAAATATTTGTAATGTCATCCTTCCTAGGAAATAGGTAGAAAACTAAAAGAAAAGGCGAAGACAATGAGATAAACAAAAGCACTGAAGGAGACAATACCGGTTATTACACTAAATGTACAGTATAACATACCATCTATGCTAAAGAAGAAACTGAGGCCCGGCCAGTGTGGCTCCGTGGTTGAGCGCCGACCCCATGCACCAAGAGGTCGCTGGTTCAATTCCCGGTCAGGGCACATGCCCAGGTTGTGGGCACAATCCTCAGTGGGGGCATGCAGGACACAGCCAGTCTATGTTCTGTCTCATCAATGTTTCTCTCTCTCTCTCCCTCTCCCGTCCTCTCTCTCTCAAATCAATAAAGAAAAAGTAAAAATAAAATAAAGAAGAAACTGAGTAACTGCCCCCATCTGTAACTCTACCGTTTGAGATGTCAAAATCCTTCTACTCAGAGGTCTTCTTAGGCCTAAAATCAATTCCTTTTACCACCGATTAAACATTGGGCAAAGTAAACATCCAACAAATGTTTTGAACTGAATGGAATTCTCAACCTAATTTCTTTGGCAATTAAATCATGTAATTATCATTTTGAAAGGTCACCAATCGCCTTTATCAAAAAAAAAAAAAAAATTCTAGAGAATCACTGCTGCTTTCTAATTCTTATTTCCCTAGAACTTTAATTTTTCACACTACTCCTTTTTGACAATTATTTATATCTCCTAAATTACTGAACTGGAATTAGACTCAGGATCCTTGCATTGCAAAGAGACAGACCGCTATGACCATAGCAAAGGAAGACTTCTGACGCCATAACCTCTTTCAATCATTCATCGATAATCTCTGAATTATTCATATACTCTCTTTAAATTCTGGATAAAGAAAGGGCTATTACTTACGGGTGTTAAAATCTCAGTGACACAGTGTTTCAGGGTTTATATTCAGTATTGTTAGGGGAAATGCGTAACACAATTGCTCAGTTATTTTCAAACAGCCAGTTCGATTCATAATATTATTCACAGAGCACTTGGAAGGATCTTACAATTATAACCCATTCTATGCAGCTTATGTCTAAGAAAACTGAGGTCCACAAAAATGCCACTTAGAGGTGTCCAACCAAAACTCATGAAAAACTTTCCATGTCAGACACTCCATAAACTCAGGGTACAGTGATTATCGATCCCTGCTCTGGATCCTGGCCCTGGATCCCGGTCCCGGATCCCTGCTCTGGATCCCAGTCCCAGATCCCTGCTCTGGATCCTGGCCCTGGATCCCGGTCCCGGATCCCTGCTCTGGATCCCAGTCCCAGATCCCTGCTCTGGATCCCAGTCCCAGATCCCTGCTCTGGATCCCAGTCCCGGATCCCTGCTCTGGATCCCAGTCCCAGATCCCTGCTCTGGATCCTGGCCCTGGATCCCAGGCCTGGATCCCTTCCCTGGACCCTGCTCTAGAGACACCAGAGTACAAAAGAAGCAGAGGTGTCATTTGAACCCAGGTCAGACAAATTCTAAAGTGACTATCCTTTCATTTGCATTCAGTAAACTACCTAAGGTCTCTTAATTAAAAACCTCAAATGGGTTTTTCCCTCATAAGGTAAGTCCCTCATAAGTTTCATTTTCATACTGTCACTTAGACCAAGAGTTTGTGAACATTTCTGGGAGAAAGGGACACCTTTCTAAAAGCATTCAGTCAACAGATACCGTCGCTCACAGCCTCCATGCCCTGGCACAGTGAGTCTGGGACCCGGTCCATGAGTGACCTCCCAGAACTACACTACAGAAAGAGGACAGCAAACAAACGAGTGATACAGACAAATACCTGTGACACACACATGCTCTGATAAAGAACAACGGGTGACCTTTGCAGAGGTGGTCACTAAGGAAGACCTCCAAGGAGATAATATTTGAGCTGAGGCCTACTTGTAAGAAACAGCTGGCCATGCAAACAGATTTCCAGTACAGCGATGACATCCACAGATATCTGAAGATGGGGAGCTGGGTGTGTGCCTCGGGACCGACAGGAAGTCCAAGTGGTAGAGGGGTGGGTGTGGAGAGGGGGCCGGGCCAGACTGTGCAGACCTTAACTTTTCGTTTTTGTTGTTTCTTAATCCTCACCCAAGGATATTTTTTCCATTGATTTATTATTTTTTTTAGAGAGAGTGGAAGGGAGGGGAGAGGAAGAAGGGAAGATGAGAGAGAGAGAGAAACACTGATGTGAGAGAAACACATCAGTTGCCTCCCGCACAATCCCGATCAGGGCTGGGCATCGAACCTGTAACACAGGTATGTGCCCTTGACCTGGGCCAACATTTTAACCACTGAACCACACCGGCCAGGGCTGTGTGCAGAACTTTTCATACCAAGACAAGGGGGTTGGTTTGGCTCAAGGTGCTATGAAAACCACTGGCGAGCTTTAAGGTGGAAAATGACATAAACCAATTTTCATTTTAAATAATCACTCTCTTAAATCATGGTAGATTGAAGGGGGAAATTAAGGAATTATGGAGAAGCCATTACAGTGATCAAAAGTGAGATATCAGAGAGCCTTAGTCCAAGGCACTGACAACAGAAATGGAGGTAAAGAGATGGTTTGAAATATGTTTTATAGATAAAATTGATAAAGCTGGCAAATGAATTAGATGTGGTGAGTGCATGAGACAAGAAATCAATATGACCAGTTTTCTCGGTTGAATAGCTAGATCAATAGCCATCTCATTTTCTGAGGCATAAAAGAATTGAAAACCAAAATCATTCCTAGAATGATAGAAATGAGCTTATTTTTTTTTTCTTTATCTTCAACCGAGGACATTTTTGCATTTATCTTCAGATAGAGCGGGAGGGAGAGAAGGAGAAAGAGAGAGAGAGACATCGACTGGTTGCCACCTGCACAATCCCAACCAGGACGGGGACAAACCACAACCGTGGCACGTGCCCTCAGCAGGAACCGAACCCGGGCCTCTCTGCTCCGCGGGCCGATGCTCTAACTGCTGAGCCAAACCAGCCAGGGCAAAACGAGCTTGATTTTTAATGCATTATATTTGAGATGACTGTGACCCAATCAATGGGCACGGCAAATGGAACACTAAGAAGAAGTGTGGAGTAAATTCATAAAGCCAGGAACTGTTGGCCCAGACGTGATGTCCAAAACCAGGAGGTTGGATGAGCACTTCCAACAAGAGTGAGCAAAGAGAAAACACGGCCAAGGACCAACCCAAGAGGAACGTGCAGAAATCAGGGGTGTGAGTGATGAGAGAAAGTGGGAAGGACCACTCGGGGAAATAGAGGACGATTAGGAAAGATGTCAGGCCAGGAGAGCACTTCAAAAAGAATGGAACACTGAGCATTGTGAATACACTTGAAAGACTGAATAACAACAACAACAGAAAGCTATCTAAGGGACTTGGCGCCAGGGAGATGCTAGCAGCATTCAGAAAGCCGTTCGGTGAACGTGTAGCTGACAGCCAGATCGGCACAGGTTAGAACGGCTGGGAGGGGGTCCCTAGAACACACTCTCCGAAGTTCAGCAGGAGAACCCAAAACTGAGAATCAGAGCCACAGTGAAGATACAGTTGGTAGCTCAGGAACACTTTCATTTGTTTGTTTGTTGAGATGGGAGTTATTAGAGCATGGATTATGCTGGTGAAAACAATCTCGAAGAAGGGGTGAAAGGAATAAATATCAAGTCCTTGCTGAGAGACAAGGGAAGGTTTCCAAAGCACTCAGCGAGGGTCTGACTTCACAGAAGAAAAGTGACCCAGTTAGTGAAGCCTAAAAACAAACCAACAAAAAATACCTGCATTAGAAAATCGCACATACAATAACGATTACCCATGCAAAAAAAAAAAGAGAGAGAGAGAGACGGATCAAAGGGCAGAGAGCTAAAGGTAAACGTAGGGATCCCCCGGATGCTGATGCATAAAGTCGACCTTAAAAATACACAACTGTTCCTTCTGTTGCCCAGTGTAAAATTTCTCCTGGTCAAGGCTGTAGTGCCCTCGGGGGGGCACACCCGTCATTCTGCTGAGGTTTTCCTCACCCTGGGTACAACCCACAGCCTTCCTTTGCTGACATGATGGGCAGCAGTGGGGGACAACAGCTGGGACGACCTCCACTCCCAGCCCATGGCAAGGAGATCATTCTTTGTCAGCGTCTTTTTTCATTCACCGTCGTTAAACTCAGGCATCTCCTCCGTTGGCCTGCATCACCTGTCTGTATTTTCCGTGGTCACCTGTTCTCTTTATGCAGACAACTCACAGGGACTCACCTCCGGCCCAGACTTTCCTCCCAGCTGCACACTCACTCCCTACTTCGCTTTAGGTTGGGAATCCCCAGCTGGGGGTTCAAGGACACCTCAAACTCGAATGTTCTGCGACTCGCCTTGTCCGTACCCACCCCATCCCCAAATCAACTCATTTTCCAACATCTAATTGTTTTTTTCTCCAGACACAAGCCTGGTTTACTCTGGACTCCTCTGCTTTATGTCCAAAAGCCAACCATGTGCTACATCTTGTCCGCCCTGTTTCCTTCAAATTCATATCTACCAATTTTTTTTTTTTTAATTCCAGTATTACTCTTAGTTCAGATCCCCATTATCTCTTGCCTGGATTAGCTCCTTAAATGTCCTCCATACCTTCAATATTCCTGCTCTTGAACTCTTTGGTATTCTCTCCCACTGTAGCCGGAATGATACACATTCTGCTTGAAATCATTCAATGCCTCCCTCCCCCCATGACCGTGGCAATAAAACACTCAGCTTGAAGCCTGGCGCACAAGAACCTCCCGAGTCCAGCCCTGCTTATCTCTGGGCCTCTGTCTTACTCATCATGGTCTCTCTTCCTACATAGCTCGTGTACACACCCTTCCTGTGGGGACGGCTCTCCCTCACCTCCTAACCACCCACCTTCGCTTAGATACCTCCTGAGCCTCAGGGTGGCCGCCACCTCCTACAGGAAGCCCTCTCTCCCCTCCTATTCGTCATCACAGCGCTGGTTTGAGAAGTGCACCAGCCAGGAAGGCTTCCAAGGAGGCCAACATATAGGTGGAACTAAAAGTAATCTCAGTGGGATGAAAACATTATACTTCCCCCAAATGACATTGACCACACCCCCCTTACGGAGAGTACGGGGTACTAGGAGCTGGGCAGGCCATCTCTGTTCTCAGGAGGACGGGCCCTGTTCTGCTGCCTGCGGGCTTGTTCTACCGCAGGGAGAGGTGCAGGCTGGGGCCTGGGGTACCCTGCCTGGGACGACACCGGAAGGCGGACAGCCTCTGCCACGTTCTCGTCTTCTCTACCGACACGGGCTGCTCTGTCACCTCCAAATAAAGCTGAACAAATATTTCTGAGTGTGGCTCTCCTTCTGTCCTCGCCTCTGCTTACCACTAACACAGCAGCACTGATCCCTGCCATCTCCTGTTTACCTGTTTGTCTCCGCTACCAGACTGCAAGGGCAGGGACCGAGCCCTGGATGCAGTTTGGGCTATCTAGCTCCCTATCTCCCGATCTATCATCTCCCTATCTATCTCTCTGTCTATCTCCCTATCTATCTCCCTATCTCCCTATCTATCTATCATCTCCCTATCTATCTCTCTGTCTATCTCCCTATCTATCTGTCTCCCTATCTCCCTATCTATCTATCTATCTATCTATCTATCTATCTATCTATCTACCTATCTATCTACCTATCTATCTATCGTTCTATCATTCTATCTATCTCCCCATCTCTCTATCTATCTATCTATCTATCTATCTATCTATCTATCTCCCTATCTATCTATCTCCCTATCTATCTATCTCCCTATCTATCTCCCTATCTCCCTATCTATCTCTCTGTCTATCTCCCTATCTATCTCCCTATCTATCTATCTATCTATCTATCTATCTATCTCCCTATCTATCTATCTATCTCCCTATCTATCTATCTATCTCCCTATCTATCTATCTATCTATCTATCTATCTATCTATCTCTCTGTCTATCTCCCTATCTATCTGTCTCCCTATCTCCCTATCTATCTATCTATCTATCTATCTATCTATCTATCTATCTACCTATCTATCTATCGTTCTATCATTCTATCGTTCTATCTCCCCATCTCTCTATCTATCTATCTATCTCCCTATCTATCTATCTCTCTATCTATCTATCTATCTATCTATCTATCATCTCCCTATCTATCTATCTATCTATCATCTCCCTATCTATCTATCTATCCATCATCTCCCTATCTATCTATCTCTCTATCTATCTATCTATCTATCTGTCATCTATCTATCTCCCTATCTGTCTGTCTGTCTATCTATCCATCTCCCTATCTACTTACTTACTTACCAGATGAAAACACTGAGATTGAGAGAGAGAAGATGAGATGCCCAAATCACACAGCATCGAGGCTGACTTTGAAAGTAGTCGGTCTGACCCCGGTGTTCACAGGAATTCTCAGGAACTATGCTGCCCCCGGACAACTTCTACCCACTCAAAGCTGAAAAACTGAGTTAAAAAGAACCTGCAGACAAGAAAACACCATTGCTCCCCTACCTCCTCAGCTCTCCCGCTGCACCTGCCCTACTCTCCGGTCCACCCAGCGAGACCTGACTCCACACGTTCTGCAAGAAGAACGGAGGCAGCGCACACACCTTGAAGAGACAGGGATTTGACGGACTGGATCTGTGGACTTGTTGATAAAAAGCGGATGTGAAATGGAGGGAGATACACTTTATTGTTCCGTCCCTGGCGAGTATCTATAAAGCCAACGAATCAACAGGAAATTAAAGCTGGTGCCCAAACGGAGCTCTGGAATACTCACTTCTCTCGGTGATCGCGAGCCCCCTTCTCGAAACGTTGGTTTACATCTGAAATTGATCTGTCATTTAAAAAGAGAAGTGTATTACATTAGGGAGAAGCATCAGACTAGAGCGAGTTACCTGAAAACACCAACAGTGACAGGTATTGAGACGGCAAAACAAAAGCCCCAAAGAATGAGGAGCAACGTTTAACACTAGTCTGAGTCTTTTGAAATCATCACCTTAGATCATCTACAGAAATCCAGAAACCCCAAGTGATCTATACTTCCAATCCACGTCTCTTCACTCTCACTGACGGAGTCAAGGTATCTTTAAACAATAATGCTCTTACGTCATACATGTGCGAAACTGAGACAATAAAGAGGAAAATTACAAGGCAGCTGAAATCACCTATCTGTGTTTCAGATTTTAAAAGTAGGAAAACAGCCCAGCCAGTGTGGCTCAGTGTTTGACCCGTGCACCAAGAGGTCGCTGGTTCGATTCCCGGTCAGGGCACGTGCCCAGGCTGTGGGCCTGATCCCCAGTGTGGGGCATGCAGGAGGCAGCCAGTCAGTGTTCTCTCTCATCGATGTTTCCATCTCTTTCTCCCTTCCTCTCTCTCTGAGATCAATAAAAAAAAATTTTTTTTAATAAAAATTGGAAAATATAAACTTGGGACATTTTTAATATGATGATGATGATTCCCACACACCATATATATAATTTATTTAAGTGTTCAGTGCCGCCTTTCTCTTAGACAAGGGGGTCTCCTGGCCATTTACCCCTTCTTTAGCTACACGGTGAGGCAAAAGGAACACAGAAATGAAGGAGGAGAAGAGCAAATGGGGTTGAGCATGAGATAAAATATGTAGTCGTCCTTCACCCCAAAACATACCAGTTGGCAACAATCAGTAATGTGTCTGTAAAACTCAACGAATGTCGCAGCAGACCAAAATAATTCAACACGTTTACCCGTGGCAGCTCCAGAACATAGAAAAGGCTCAGAGACTCACACGTGGAAATAGAGAAGGGGCATCTGAGGGGGCAGGGGTCCCTATTAGAGTCCCCCCCCCCCGAATGACAGGTAAATGGGCTCTGCAGACTCCAGGTCTCGGCGGGGGGGGGGGGGGGGGTTAGAGGCCGTGGGGAGCCACTCCCGGCCCCACCCACACTTGATGCTGAGCCAGCAGGAACAGCGCTGGAGGAAGGAGCTGGAGGGAGTTGCCTTCTGGTCTGGCTCGCGCCCTTGTCGCCACTTTAGGAAGTAAACTCACAGGGGCCAGACACACCTACACAACGGTTCGAAAGAGCGTGTGCATTTTTTTCTTTAAGAGAAAACATCTTGTGGGGAATCCTATGGGTGAATAACAATGTTTCTGTTGTGAAGGAAATCGGTGCATCCCAGACTTTTTTCTCTAAACTTATTATTCCTTCTCTCGAGAGTCAACATAAAATGAGATCAAATTAGCCTTCAGCAAACAACAGAATGAAGGTCGCGGAAGCTCTGCCTTTCCATTATTAATCTGGTGATACTGTTGGACTTCCAGTTGGTTTAAACAAGGGCATTGCTTTCAAAAAGTTGAAAATAGAAACTGACACCTGGTCTTGGAAGTCCGAACACTTGCAAGGTAGCAACCTTTGCAGCAGGTGGCGCTGTCTCACCTTTTCCAGCTGTTCGATGCAGGCGGCGTGGACCACAATTTTACAGACCGCACACTTCCTCCTGAGGGCCGATTTCTACAACATTCCATTCAAAACACAAGAAGAAATGTTAACACTCTGTTCTAAAGAGGCCCTGGATAGTAAAGAGTGTGTATGTAAACCAAGCAAACATTGCAATTGTTCATATTACTAAGCAAATTTAAATCTCTGTCTTTGCCATTCCGTAATAGGACAAACCTCATCAACAATGCTTTCCCCCGCCAAGTGGTTCCATATCCCCATGACTTAGGGTGGCCTCGATTTTTTTCTTCAAAATACAGTCATTATAATAGCTGCTATATACTGAGTATATAATATAAACCAGGTTCTTGATTCTTTCATAAACTAAACTAAAAATGCAGACATTATTATCCTTTTTTTTTTTTTTACATTTTTACTCTAGTAGTTAAGGGGCAAGGCCAACCAACACTTAAAGAAAGTTAGGTGTAATTTCAAAACAAGCATTCTGTCCCTACTGCCAAAGAGTCCGCATTTTAAGGGGCCAATCAATTTAGGCTTCTATCCTAGGCACAAATCTATGCGAAGCTACTTGGGTTTCTGCCCAAATCTTCAGGAAAGCAGAGAAACAAGTCTCACCTTTACACCCAACAGTGACAGTAATAGGTATAATCAGAGCAGCAGCAGCTCATAGGGATTTAGCACTTGCTATCTGCCAAGGGCGTGTCGGCACTTCACAAAGACTAACTCACTTAGTCCTCACACCCGAAGAAAGAGGAACTTACTCCCATTTTACAGGCGAGAAAACTGAAACACCGTAAGAGATATGCCTAGAGTCATATCATCAGGGCCCACAGGGCCAGGTCGGCTGACCCCAGCTGGACCTGACAGTCCACACCCATTTAAATTCACAACAGAAATACTTCTTGTGGTGTGTCTTTTCTCTAGCAATAAAAATCAAGCAGCGGAGAGAGAGAAATGGGTGGACTCCAGACTCCTGCCGGTGCCAGGCCAAGTCTAAGCCAGGACGCTCACGCCTCCCTCCAGGGCACAGGCCATGGGGTCCGAGCACCCAGAGAAACATGATAACAAAGCCCATCTGTGAAATCGTATCTCAAAGCTTCCCAGTGAGAAAGGCCCTGTGTCCCTACCCTTAAGAGCGGGGCCGGCATAGGGTGACGCAACCTCCCTGCTTCTGAGGTGTGGCTTCCCCAGCTGAGGTGTCACTTGGAGCCAACCGGTGGCAGAGAGATGACAATGAATATGGATTACTCCTCCCAAGGAGAGAGGAAGGACGCAACCACCACCTTGGAAAGGGCAGTCTCAGAAAAAAACCGCAGCCTCCCGCCTCCCTGATGGCGCTCATTCAACATGGGCTACCCACAGTGTCATCAGCCCCAGCCGAGGGCCCAGGGCACTCGCGTGCTGCACCAGCTGAACTCTGCACCCCCTGACTGAGGCCGTTACCCTCTGCTTGCGGGTGCTGTAACTGCTGCCGGCCTGCCTTCCCCGAGAAAAGAACATAGTCTGCAACCTTGGATCAGTCCGATCCTCAACTGAGTTTGCAGATAACAAAGCATAAGGAACACGCATGCGTCTAGCTACCCTGCTGACAAGAGTCTCGGCTCTACTACTAAATGAAAGAACAGGAGCAAGTAGTAGTAATAGTAATAGTAGCAGCAGCAGCGGCATCACTCACGGCAACAATAACAAAATTCTAGTTTGCAAATTTTCGTGAGCGGAGTGCCCCTAAGCAAATGATGGCTTCCTCTGGCTGTCCCCGTTGCTGCTGGAGCACCACCTGCCGCAGGGAACGGGGTACTTGAGTGGCATCGCTAATCAGAGTGAGCGTGATGCTGAGCACACTGGAACTACTCCAGTCTGTGCACTAGCCACAGGACCGCTGGTGGGTGACAAAGCAGGCAGCCGGGGCCACCACGCACGGGCTGTGATGTAAGAACACCTGCAAAGCCTCCTTGCTTACCAATCACTCCTGCCCCTGTCTAGCTCTCTGCCTGACCTTGTGCTCGGCATGTTCTCTGGAGCTCCTGGGCCTCGGTGAGGCGTCTACAGATCACGGGGGATGGTGGGGAGGACGCCAAGCAGGCTTGGGGACCCACAGGCACGCACTGACACCAGAACACCTCTTCCTTGTCCCCCCTCGGGATTCCGAGTCAGAAACCTTGAATAAGGGATCTGGGCTGGAAGAGTCTGAGAACCACTGGGTGGAGACGTTACCTTTCTTCTTACTGGTGTACTCGTAAATCACGATTAGCAAATTGTGCTTGGTTCTATTACAATTTTTATTTTCAGGATCAGTCAATACACTGATATCATTCACAGGGAAAAATCCAAGATGCTGCACAGATGATAGTATATGGAGTCAAGCGCCTGAAGTCGTAGAACTGATTGTATTTAAACAATACTGAAGTTTTAAAGACCCTCATAAAATAGATTATGTACATCTGTGCCTTTTGGGGAAGAATAAATAAGCCATAATCTGAATTTTTCTTCACAAACACAAAACAGAATGCATTTTTGATTTCCTGTCCTTCCAGAGGAATAGATACCCTCAAATTCCTAACTGGCACTTTCTAATCTCAGAAACAGATCACTGAGGTGTCAATCACGTGAAAAATTAAGTGAATGCATTCGGAGTGGAGGCCTTAGGTTTCCCGTAGTACTAAAACACATGGGTTTTAGTTCCTCAACAGAATGGGGTCCCTCCAGTGAATCAGAAGACTTTCTGGTTAAGGACTGTGTTTCCATTGGTCAGCGTCATTCAAAGGGGCTGTATAGTAAGCTTCCGGGCAGAAATTGCTCAAAACATATACATGTTTGTATTTCATTATATTACAATTTTCATCTTCGAGATTAAAACTCAATATGAAGATAAAATTTCTGAATGAAAGACATTCCAAATGCTGTAAATACTCACGTTTTCTTAGAACTAACTTTCACTTAAGCCAACCTCTCCTTCACTATAAAAAGTGATAAATCAAGAGAAGTCATCAAAATTAATTCAGCAGGTGGGCTGTTGTTCTTCATATTGGGGCCTAGTTGTGATAGAACCCAGCACAAGATCATAATTTGAACAATAAAGATGGCCTGGGACCCCAAAATGCTAGAGAGTTAAAATGGTAAAAATGTAATGATTCACTCTCATTGTGAATTTAAAGGCCAGTTAGGCTCACTGTTTTAAATACCAGGTAAAGTAACGTGAGTGCCCTTACTCAGAGCTTCCTGCCGTTGTCAAGGAAATCCATTCGTTTGCAATCATGGAGGGGGGCACCTCTGTGACAATTCATATAAGATGTGACACAGATCAGACCCCATCCGATCATGACCAGCATTGACTTAAATAGCAACGCCGTCTCTGCTGTGCTTTGGGAGGGCGGGCACAGTCTAACGAGCCGACCGACGGTGACCGGAAGAGAGAACGTTCCAGTTCGGAGCCGGCCTACCCGTTTCCCACGCCTGGGCGCTGCTGGCCTCGGTCACGCCTCCTCACACACCGTCAGCTCACGTGGAGCCCGCACTGTCACAGCCTTAGGCTGCCGGGGCAGGGTGTGGGGACCACAGGATCAGCGGCAGCAGTGGTGGAAAACACCTACGTGTCCCTGATGAACAGTTTACTGTCCGATCCTCTCTCACCCACTCACTTCCTTTGGTCACAAGTCCCTGATCCAGCTGTGCCACCAAGAAAACTATTTTTTTTCTTTGCTTGAGCAAGAGGCGCGCGTTTTGCTAAGTAGCAAGGACTCTCTGGTGGTAGTCAGAAAGAATGTCTGGTGGTGTGAAGAAAGGAAAAGGAAAAGGAAAAGAAGCGGGGGGGAGGAGACCTAGATTCCCAGACCTACGACCGGCGGAGTCTCCGGCCTCCATGCCGCCTAAGGTAACCGAAGTCCATCGTCATTCCTACAAATGACCCTGCCTGCGGACCGTCCCGCTCCAGCTGCATTCTCAAGGACACCCGACTGTGCACCTGCACACACACACACACACACACTCACACACACCCCGCCCAGAGGGCATCGCATGAGATCCACAGTGGAGAAGCGGGAGGAAATACTCAGCCCTCGGAGCCAGCGTGGAAACCGTTGCCCTGTTTCCGTCTCAGGAGGGCTCAGAGCCCAGGGCCCGCTGCTGGCCGCACCGAGCCTGGGCGTGTGGATCTCAGTCCAGACAGAATTCCCGGCCCACGAGCTCCCGAGCGGAGGCCAGGAGTACGGCTCCCCCCGTGCCAGCCCTGTAGTGAGGCCACAGCCAGAGGAACAGCCGGGGCCTCCAGGCGGGACCCCAGCCAAACTGCAGGAGGGGAGGAGGCGGGAAGGGCTTCCGGGGGAGGAGCAGAAAGACCGCGGCGGGCGAGGAGCTGGCACAGAGGTGAGGCTGGGGGAGAGGTTACCGACTCAAGGCCCTACCAGGCTCTTCTTCCCCCAGTGATGTCTCAACCCTTACCTTTCCCAGAAGATTAAGATGAAGGGAAGGTTGGGATCAGGCAAAGGGGAAATAGCAAATGAGGTGAGAAGAATTTTATTTCTCTTCTTGCTCCCTGTTGGGCACGAAGCTGCGTGTCCGGGGCACTTGGCGGGAGGACTAAGACGATGGAAAGACAAGGATGCTGGGTGTTTTTCCCCAGGGCGAGGTGGACACATGCTCAGGGAAGTTGGGGAGTAAGCTTTCTAAGCCCTTGCACTAGGACTGCGAGTATGGGCAGCGTGACCCAGAACACTGCTGCTGCATAATCCAAGGTAAATGAAAACAGGAGTTCTTTGATGTATTTAAACACCCAATTAGAAGAAATGACAAGCAGCCTTGGCAAGGTCTGCCCTCCGGGAGCCTGGGAGGCGATCTGTGAGTGGGTGTTAGGAGAAGTGAAGAACATTACCTGGAAGCTCCATGAACCGGGTTCAGGGCTGAGGAGCAGCCCCCACGGCCCCCATGCACACCCCGATGATGGCTCCTCGCTACCCCAGTACGTCTCTCTGTGACAACAGGATTTCATGAGCCCAGACCGAGGAGCAGAAGTGTCCCATGTCCAGGAGACTCTCGGAGACCTTTGCAGAGGGTCTACC